CGAGTGTCGTCCCCTCGAACGCACGGTGGGGTGTTCTCCAGGTTCCAGGCCGTTATAATATATTGGGGGGGGACACAATATTCACATATGCTCAAAATGTCCCCCCCCAATATAATGCTATAAAATAAATTTCTGTTCATATGATTGTGGTTATGGTTGTACTTTATTAATCCCTAATCTCTGCCATTACATACAATGAAACAAGAAAAGGTAAAAACGAAAAAACAGAAATGTAATACAATATACACTATTAGACATTATTGTAAATAATTAATAAAAAGTCCATCCTATGTGTTAGGGAATTTTTTTTTATATTTTAGGCAGGAAATGGCAGGAAATGAGTTTTCAAATTTAGATTTTTTATTCTGAGGGGTGGACCCCCAGACCCTCTGGAAGATTTGGTCCCCCCCAATGTTGACTTCATGGCTACGGCCTTGCCGCACATCGCCGGACGCGTACACGTGGCATTGGCCCAAACGTCCCGATGCATCAAGTTCCTTGTGCGCACGATCTCATTTTCACCGCTCCATCTCTTGCGAGAGAGGTCCCCTCGGGCTCGTCCCCTTCCTTTGTGGTGGCTCACGGCTCTTCCGGTTCGAGGAGGCTACAAACAATCGCCTTCCAATCACAGGTGGCACGAGCAGGTGGATTAAGTAATGATAATCACTGCTTGTAATGATTACCAATACTGTTATTTACTCAGCAGAGCCTCGCCGATTCTCAGGACTCCTTCCCAGAAGCGTCCTGCAACATCGGGATGTTTGACCAACGAATCCCCGTTGTTTTTGCAACCGCCGCACAAGGGGAGATATTTGGATCGAAGCGGCGACCCCTGGATTGGAATTCCAATGCGCGAACCATGAGACTACAGCAGCAGCTCCCTCTGCTCGAAGAAACCAGACTCGATGCGTCCAGGCTTACCTGGGTCTCACTCAGCCTGAACCTTTGTTCATAATGGCCAGCAGTTGTGGTGGGGGGAGAAGGGGGTCTGGAAATGCGTCGTCGGGTACCCTGCACTGCGATGAACCTGGTTGGATTCCCTAATCCAGGTCTGGCGCCGGGTCTAAGCTCAGATTTTCCTCTCTGCCGGTGGAATAATCTTCGTGTGGCCAAAGTAGCTGTATAATATCGCTAATGTGCATTCGTGATTCAATGCAATGGCGCCTTAGCTAGGCTCCTAAAGCCCCTCTGCGCGACTTTGTCTGTGCAATTGGACATTTGAAACAGGATTGCTCTTTATTTAGCTTCTGGGCATTTGCACAGGTCTCGGACGTGTACATCCCAGGCACTTTCGAAATACGCTGGTAATCGTTATTGCGAGCAACCGTTTGAAAGGAACGGGAAAGGGAGGAGACGGAGAGGAAGAAATGAGAGGAAAGGGGTGGGACAGGAACAGAGAATCGGGAGCAAAGGTTTCAGGAGAGATGAGGAGAGGGAGGAGGAAGTGGTTGCATCAGGGTCTCGAAGCTGCTGATGCTGCTGCTGATGATGCTGCTGATGATGCTGCTGCACGGAGGAGCGGCGTCTGTTTTCACAGTGGGCGGCCAAGAGAGGGGAGGGGCTCAGAGTAGGGGGATGGCCACACCGAAGTCACGTGGTTTACGGGGGTGGCCACACAAAAGTCACGTGGTTCACGGGAGGAGGCTTGAGCTGATTTAGAGATATAATCACGGTATCGGACGTGCTCGGATGAACTGACTTGACTGTGGCCGATGATGATGATGATGATCTTTGCATACTTGTCAAACCCTTATCAGTGCCCTCACTTATTACAGACCAATTCAGACCTTATTGGTCAACCCGTGACCTTATACATTTCAATGTTCATCCTGCAAAATCCAGTCACAAGGGAGAAACACAAACAAATAGACAAAAAACAACACTTGTTTTGCCCGTATTCAAACGGCTGTATGCCATACGGACCTGAACATTCCATTCTCTGTACAAGAATACGGGTACACTGTATGGGTTGACAGATATGTCTTTGGGACGAGTCAAGTAGAAACTCTTCTTTGGGTGATGCATTGGCTGAGATGCATCTGTAATGACTTCTGTCATTACATTTCAACAAATCCGGGTAAAACCCTTTCAGCCTCGTCAAAGAAAAGATCAACATGCAGCTCAGCCGCGAAAGCCACACTTGTATTACACGGGGATGCGAACACCGAAGGGTTAAAAATAAACCTATTCTGCAGATTATAAGACGCGCATTTTCCCTGCCCTTTTGAAGCAAAATAATCGGGGTGCAACTTGCAATCTGGAGATTATCTCATATTCCGCAAAATTTATATTTTGCTGTTTACTAAGAATCGCATTCTGGAAGACAACTCTTCAAAATTATACAATATTTTCCGGAAGGCGTATTTTAATCTCGTTGTTCAGAGTCGTCTTCCGCAAGACATCTCTTCATATTCCAAAGCAGCGTGTTTCTCATAATATTCTGGACGAGGGTGGCTCCCAAACGCAATACTGTATTTCCACGATTATAAAACACTCTCTCTTTAACGTGATCCAACATTTTTGGGCGCGTCTACGCTTTGCAGATGGTCTCATCGCCCGGGGAATATGGTAAGAGAGAAAGGGGCTCAACACACTATAGCGTGTTGACACCACCGACCACCAATCACCACCAAACACCACCAGACCCTACTAACAACACACCACAACCAAACACAACGTACCACCAGCCACCACCTCTGAGTGCACCTGATTCAATCTCATTTCAGACGCTAAGCAAGGGGTTGACCCTGGTTAGTACTTCGACGGGAGGCCCCCTGGGAATCGCAGGTGTTGTAGGTTTGGGCTGTGTGCGAGGTAGCCAGGAGTTGACAGTGGACGGAGGTGGGTGAGGAGGGCGGCAGTGCGGAGGGGGCATCCCGAAATGTCAGTGTTCATCACTGTGGCCTGCCGCTACTGAACCATCATCCACAGCACGGGGCCCTTTCGGGTAATTTCTTTTGAAACTAAAATTACATTCACGCATTTGCTCTGCATCGCAAGACCACGACTGTGAATTAGCCAAACAGGCAGCGTCAAAAAACACAACCACGTCCAGCCACCTACCAACTCACCCATCACCCATCCACTCACCCACCACCCATCCACTCACCCACCACTCACCCACTCATCCACCCACCTTCCAACCGACCTTCCGCGCAGTCACCAACGCACCATCTAACCCACCCACTCACCAACCCACCCACCAAAAGACCCACCGCCAAGTCACCAACCCACCACCTAACCCACCACCTGCCCACCCACCCAACCACTAAAAGACCTACCGCCGAATTACCCACTTGCCACGTCACCCACTGACTCACCTGCCCCTCCACCAACCAACCAACACACCCATCACCCGCTTGCCGTGCCATTCCATGTCCCGGTCAGCCCTGACCTGCCTTGGAGTGAACAGGGTCGGAGTGGCGTGGATGGTGGATGCGACGTGGGAGGAGACGGACGCTTGAAACCCGTTCTGTGGCGGCTGTCAAGATCTCAAGATGTGGGGGGGGGTGGGGGGGGGGGATGTCCACGGGTTGGGATCGTGAATTTGCCATGCTGGAGACAGCGCGATGTGGCTATGGGCCGTGCTGAAATCTCTGGAGGCCCCCCCCCCCATCCAAGATCAGCGCACATCGTCGTGATTATTATTACCACTCCTCCTCCAAGGATCGCCACCGCCGCAGGCGCCTGGACCTGTGTGCCGTGCCCCCCCCCCCCCCCCTCCGCGCCCTAACCCTGCGGTGCGCATTAATTTTGATGGGGAATTTTTTTTTTCTCTCCGTGGGATTTCGCGTGAACGCAGAGAGAAGGTAGAGAGGAAAACTCATCTCTTAAACGTAGCAGAGGTTGTCATCGTTGCCTGTGTATTTGTGACGCCCTATTTACATTCGTTATAGATTAGTTCGAGAGCGCAGGCTAGGTGCGAGTGGTTTGTTGCCACTGCGCATAGCAATTACATGTACGGCAACGCATTTCAATACAACACGTGTAACATGTGGGAATTCAACAAAGAGTGGTGGTGGTGGAGTGGTGGCGCAGTGGTTAGCGCACTTTTCACCGAACACGGCAAGCCGATTTCGATTCTCATCAATGACTCACAGAGGTGGCGAGTAATAGCTGATATCTAAATGGTCCTGCAGGCTTTGCTCTCTTGACCAACCTGCACGAACCAGCATGGTGAAGTATGGTCAAAGGACCCCCTCCCCCCAATAACTGACGCGGCATGGTCGAATCCTTCATCTAGCAGTGGTTTGACAATTGCCTCCAAGATCGTACAGCTGATCCCACCAACCATACTGTTTTTAGAGAACGAATGGCGCAAGGGAAAATTAAATGTGTATTTCCAGGCAATAACGTTATCTTTGGAATGCACTCGAACGGCGATTGACCGCAGGTTATTTTGCCTGTCATCATTGCGGATCTCATCAAGAACAAAAAATCGCTCGCAACATTATTACATAACCACAGCACTTGGCCTATGCAGGCAAATGATTGATGGCATTTGTCAATAAATGAACCGCGCGCTACATTTATTCCGTTGTTTGATTCATTTACTTACTTATTTCTAAAGCCCACACATCGCCGGCGAACGCACGCACGCACGCGCGTTAAGTGCCGTGCGGACGGCGCGCGACCGTCCATCGTGAGTGACCGAGACCACAATCTGGGCACGCTCGGCATCCAGCCTCCACGCGGACACCGGGGAAAGAGGGAGGTGGGGGGAAGGGAGGGGGGGGGTGCAATCGTTGCCCTGAGTCGACCCCCCTGCAGAAGCCGGCGACTCCCACCCAGCGGCAACTTCACACGCGGCGACTTGGCTCACTCCTCGCCCACTCACTCAAAGACGAGGATCTCTCCCGTAGAGCCTTACACAGGCTGGAAAGGGCAAGTACTGCCGGCGAGCAGCAGTTCTTACGAAGGCCGGCACAGCACACGAGGCTTGTGTGGGTGTCCAGCACCACGCCCGGTTCAATCACGCACTCACGCGCTGACGCACTCACCGCGCCGGCTGATGGAGACACTTGCTGGGCGGGAGATGGGGAAGGGGGGGGGTCTCCCATCCCATCGCACTCGGAGTCGGTGAGACGGCGCCAGCGAACAATGAGCGAGCGATGAAGATGATGAACGAAGACTCCCGGTCGCCCGCTCCTCTCTCGCTCGCTCTCTCCTCTCTCTCGGCGTGTCGAGCACTCTGTGTGCGCGTGCGTCTCTCTCTCTCTCTGTACCTCTTCAGTGTCGTTCTAAGTGTGCGCGCGTGTCTATTGTCTCTCTGCGTCGACGCTGTCAAACGAACGTCCTTCCAGCACGTGGCCGCCGATGCTCAGCGTTTGGGGAAAATCTGGAACAGGGCAGGACGGAGCTGCTCCATCCTCCTCCTCCCTCCTCTTCCTCCCCCCTTCTCTTGCGGCTGGGACACTTTTAGCAGAGTTGGGGCGCGCGCATTAGTGCCGCCCCCCCACCGCATCCCCCCCATCGCCCCCTCCCCTCACTGCACCCCCCCCCCCCCCACTCCACTCCCCCCCTCTCTGCCATGCCGGTTTTTATTGACAGCTTGTTAATTCCCTTCTCGGCGATGCATTATTCATGCGCCGCCGGCCGGATTCCCCTGCCCGAGAGCGGTGCCGTCGGATCTCTGTGTCCTGCGAGCCGCGCACCGAGGACGCACGGACGGACTGACTGACGGACAGACGGACAGAGAGAGTGGACGGAGAGAAGAAGAGGCATGCGGGCAGACGGACGGACGCGCAGGAAGGATAGATGGACAGGTGACAGGCAAGGCGGGGAGATGGGCAGATAGACGGATTGATTGGTGGACAGATAGATGGACACAGCGGGAAGATAGGCAGGTGAACAGATAGGGAGGCGGATGGACAGGCAGGCAAGTGGCATGCAGGTACAGAGTTACAGATGGACAGGGTCATCCGAATGGCAAACAGGTAGACTGTAGATAGATGAATAGTCACAACCGAGAGACAAATTGACAGGTGTACGGGCAGACAGATGGACAGGAAGGCAGCCAGACAGACAAGTAGGCACAGACCAGTAGGACAGTCAGACAGACAAACACAGACGAACTGGCTTATAGACAACAAGACCAGAAGACGGGCAGATTGGCGTACACAGAGACGTATGACTCGTCAGGCGGACAGATCGACAGACAGGAGGTTAGGCAGACGTGGGGACAGACAGACGTGGGGACAGACAGACGGGGGGACAGGCAGACGTGTGGACAGACAGACGTGGGAACAAGCAGACGTGGGGACAGAGAGGAGGCCAGGCAGACGTGGGGACAGACAGACGTGTGGACAGACAGACGTGGGGACAGGCAGACGTGGGGACAAGCAGACGTGGGGACAGGCAGACGTGGGGACAGACAGACGTGGGGACAGACAGACGTGGGGACAGACAGACGTGGGGACAGACAGACGTGGGGACAGGCAGACGTGGGGACAGACAGACGTGGGGACAGGCAGACGTGGGGACAGGCAGACGTGGGGACAGACAGACGTGGGGACAGGCAGACGTGGGGACAGACAGACGTGGGGACAGGCAGACGTGGGGACAGGCAGACGTGGGGACAGACAGACGTGGGGACAGGCAGACGTGGGGACAGGCAGACGTGGGGACAGGCAGACGTGGGGACAGACAGACGTGGGGACAGACAGACGTGGGGACAGACAGACGTGGGGACAGACAGACGTGGGGACAGGCAGACGTGGGGACAGACAGACGTGGGGACAGGCAGACGTGGGGACAGGCAGACGTGGGGACAAACGTGGGGACAGGCAGACGTGGGGACAGACAGACGTGGGGACAGGCAGACGTGGGGACAGGCAGACGTGGGGACAGACAGACGTGGGGACAGGCAGACGTGGGGACAGGCAGACGTGGGGACAGACAGACGTGGGGACAGACAGACGTGGGGACAGGCAGACGTGGGGACAGACAGACGTGGGGACAGACAGACGTGGGGACAGGCAGACGTGGGGACAGGCAGACGTGGGGACAGGCAGACGTGGGGACAGGCAGACGTGGGGACAGACACGAAGAGGGAGAGGCGGCGCGTTGGCCGGGACGTGGGAGCGAGGGTGCCGCACTCGCGGTGGAGTGAGGCGCGAGGTGGGGGAGGAGGGGCTCTGTGTAAGTGGGGGGGGGGGGGCGCTCTGTGTAAGTGGGGGGGGCGCTCTGTGTGACTGATGGGGGGGGGGGGCGCTCTGCGTGAGTGGTCGCCACGTCTTTGTCGGGCTCGTCGCGTCAGCCTCCTCGCTGCACGCCGCTGCTGTGACTCCTCCTTCGCCCTGGCACGCGTTCTGTGATCATTGTCCACCACGGTCGTCACGGCAGTGGGTTACCCAGGTCAATGGAGGTGGAGTCGGGGTGGTGCTGGGAACGGCGGCTGCACGGGTAATGCCGAACGCGCGTACAATGTGCGAGCGACGTGAACATCATTTACCAGCAGCAAGTGGGTTCACTTTACGGGCCATTCTCTTCGTGATCCTGGCTTTTACGTGGGCAGGTATTCGCGTTGAACTTCTTTTCGCGCCGTAAGTGGAAGGGCGGCGTGGTTAAAATTCGCATGCAAACTCGAGTTCAGTAAAGTAAGGACGATGATACTTGGATGACACGAGGACCCCGTAGCGTCCATCGAGGCTCCCCTTGCCCCGTAGGATGGGCAGCTCCCCAGCACTGGTTCAAGCAAGCCCAACTGATGAGACACCGCGTGTCGAAACCGGTCCAGAAGTTTGGTTGTTTTTAAACAATGTCGCTGGATGCATGCACTCCGAGAAGGCCGCATATTTGATAAGTTGTGTCACAATGGGACATTGCTCATTTATTTTTATTAAATTACACAATAGCTAGGCAGGCAAAAACGCCTCCTTCCTATATTTTTCTCGTGAGATCAAGACAGAAAGAAAAAGAAAACATCTCTAAAGTTTGTTTTTATTTTATTTTACATCATAGCAGCCACGCGGCATTCTGGGAGTGTGATCATTTCAGCCGCGCCGAGTTCGACAAATCCAGTTGGCGGCGCTGAGAGGTTCTCGCCGTCTCGTCTCGCATTACATTTGATGCAATCGTTATTACCTCTACACCACCACCAACCACATCGCTCGCACTGGCATCGCCCCGAGCTGATCTGCCTGTCTCCCTCGATTCGCCCGCGCGTCCAACTGCAGGCTCCGCACCCTTGAGACGCGTGACTGTGTGCGTAGTCAGTGCGTCGACTCAGCGGGGAGCGGTGGCACAGTGGTTAGCGCGTGCTGCGCTACGTACCCAGTCAACACGGGTTCGATTCCCGCTCACAGTCAACACCAGTGACGATCGTCTCAACCGGTCCTGGGCCTCTTCTAGGTCGACTCGGCCTCAAATGAGTACCTGGTGCGGTGTGTAAACATCGCCACGACAGAGACAAAGGCGACCCACCCCCTTGTGCGCCGTACGGGCCTTCATTGGTACTCGCTAACGGCACTTGCCCCAACAGTCTGTTAAGGCTATACGGGGGATCTTTGTGTCTGTGTGTCTACTCAGCGGGGAGCGGTGGCGCAGTGGTTAGCGCACCTGCGCAACGAACCGAGTAACTGCGAGTTCGCTTTCCGCTCTCGACTCTATCTGAACCGGTTCCGGGCCTCTCCTCGGTCGTTTCAGCCTTAAATTAATTCCTCAAGTGCGGTGCGGAAAACATCGCCACTGGCGGCAAGGAACAGAGGCGGCTGCGGGCGTGGCGCTGACCGCACCACCACCCGCATGTGCCGGCCGTCTTTGTCTTCATTGGTGCTGGCTAACAGCACTTGCTCCAACAGCGTGTTGAGGCTACACGGGGCGTCTTTGTCTACTCATCAAACCGCTCGGGGCACGTTGATAGCGCCAAGCTCGTGAACGGCTCGAGCCTTGTCAGTGAGCAAACCCGACTAAGGTGGAGCAATATTCACGAATGAAGTGGACGTTAAAAGTGATTTCATGCTTTCGTGACTGCAGGGATTCATATGCTTGGTTCTTTCGGTAAAGTCACGTAGAAGGGAAATAATAAAATAATAGAAATAAAACAATAATTGTTTTTTTTATTTGTATTATTTTTTTACGTGACTTTACCAAAATAACTAAGAGTATGATTTCATGCTGCTTAAATGGTCACTGAGCTGTTGTTCATCTCCTAAGCAGTTGGCGGAAATTCCACATTCCTGTGTTGGGGGCGAGCCTATCCATCGGACAACTATTGACTTCCCGACAAAGTGGTCCTCATGATATCGATCCCGGAGGGATGATGGGCTGAAGGGTCATGGCCATTACCTTTGGCACGATGTATTTTCTGTCATTTCCAATGCAACAGCAATGTTTTCAGAAGTCATTATTTTCGATTTTGATGCAGTATATTTAATTGTGACGGAGCGGTGGTGCAGTGGTTAGCGCACTGCGCTCTGAATCCGACGACCTCGGTTCGATTGCCGATCACGGCTAACATCAGTGGCGAGTGATACCTGAGTCGGTCCTGAACCCCTGTCGTCACCAACCCGCACTGAGGAGCGTGGTGAAGTATGGTCAAACAACCCCCATGACCGACGAGACACGGGGTGGCCTTCGTCTAGCAGTGGATTAACAAAGGGCTATACTCTTTGGTTCTTTCGGTGAAGTCACGTTGATAGAAAATGCATAGATCACGACGTTTCGATCGCAACACAAGCGACCGTCTTCAGGTGAGAGAGAGAAAGCCACGTGACTTTACCGAAAGAACCAAAGACTACGGATTACCGTAGTCACGAAAGCTTCAAATAAAAAAGGGCTAAAGTATACTTTTCTTGGTAATTAGAATTTTACATACATTTATTTAATGCATTCAATAAATAAATGCATTTAATTTTAATAATTTTATTTATCATACGTATTTCTTCACTCTGGTATTGCAAAAAAATGCATGGGTTTAGCGATTGATATTGGCTCTGAAATTAACGGTACGTGATGCATCGATTCGCGTATCTAAAAAAAATATGAAAATGTTTCAATGCGTGTCCGTGTGAAACCTAATGGGGTCACGTAACATCTGCAGCCACCAGTGGCCGCTGTATCCACTGCAATGCGAAGCAGACAATGATTGCATTGAATCACGACCCAGAATCGTGACGTTCTTTTTGTAGTGGTGCTCAATTGTAGTGTTAGTGGTGGTGTAGCATAGTCGTGGTGCAGTGTAGTGGTGGTGGAGTGGTGGTGGTGTGGGTGGTGGTGTAGTGGTGGGGTAGTGGTAGTGGGTGTAGTTGGTAGTGTAGTGGTGGTGTAGTGGTAACGTAATGTTGTGGTGTCGTGGTAGTGTAGTAGTAGTGGTGGTGTAGAGGTAGTGGTGGTGTAATGGGTTGTGGTATAGTGTAGTGGTAGTGTAGTGTTGTAATGTTTTAGTGTAGCAGTGGTAGTGTAGTGGTAGTGTAGTAGTGGCAT